CCCAGCTAGTAAGTATCTGAGGCTGGATTTGAACCCAGGTCTTCCTGACTCCAGGCCCAGGGCTCTATCCATTGCACCCACCTAGCTGCCTCAAAGGGGACAATAATACCTGTCGTGAAACCTCACAAGGGTGACTGTAAGGATCGCGGTTACTCTGAAAAGTCTAAAGCATCATAGATGTGTTGGTTATGGGGATGACGACTTGTTTTGGCTTTGTCTCCCGACACAGTGTGGGCGCAGCCTTAGTATTAAACCACCAGCCAGCCATCTGCCCACTGGGGAGCCTACCTGGAGTCGGAGGGAGCTGACCCCAAACCAACCTTGGATTTAAAACAGACTCGGACTATTTCCTATGAATAGAAAATATATGCGGCTTTCGACAGCCAATTAAAGTTGAGTCTTCAGTAAACACAGCATTGAGGGCACTAATGTTTTAAGCCATCCTGGGCTGTTCTGCTCTTATTCCGTATACACTGTGGTTGACCGCGGCTGGCAGGCGGGCCAGGATCACGTCTCCATCTCCTCTGGGGTTTGGCTTCCAGCTGAAGACGCCAACTCGGGCCGGGGAGGAAGGACTCCATTGTCTCCATTTAAAGGGACAGCTCGCTTGGTCCTCCTCCTGTACAAACAGCAAAGATCTATTCTGTCCAGGACCCTGTCTGCCAAACTGCTAAAGGGGTTTGGGGGCCCCTCTCACTGAGAACTGATTCAGGGTTTAAAAGTTTAGAAAACTTTTGCATGCAGGTGAAATGCATAAGAATAGTTTTCCAACATGTGGAACATGTACTGGAATGTGGGCTAACCTTAGGGTCTAGGTACAGGGGTGGGAAACTAGTGGCTTTAAGGTCACAAGTTCCCCACTCCTGGTAGTTGTTCTGGGTTCCAATCCTGACCAACACATTCCATCTGTGTGGTCTTGGGCAAGGCTCTCAGGTAACTTTTAAAACTAACAGGGACAGTCAAGCTGCTGGTTAGTAATGATGGAGGGAGTTTCCACACCAGGAGCTCTCTATGAAGATGAAATCATTGCTCAAGACAAAAAATAAAAACGATTTCTAACCAATGTGAATATTTTGATGAATAACTGGGATTTATAAAGCACTTGAATGTATGCAAATTGCATTATATCATTTGATCCTCACAAACCAAAATCCTGTCCTATGAGGTAGTGGTTATATCACCATTTTACAGACCAGGGGAAGGTGCAAGCCTTTTTAGTGAAATTCACCTCACAGGCGGGAGATAAACCCCTCAATCAGTCATCTCCTAGGCCCAGCTCTCTTCCTGCTATCTTAGTGCCTCAACACGTGACAGAAGGGCTTCAATCAGGGCACCATCTGCACCTGTGTGGAAGAGAGCTCATTTTTACAGTTAAAAACTGGGCCATAATCTTTCAAAGTTGGAAATTAAGTTGGCCTAATAGAGACCACTGTCCTCCCCAAGAAACTTCATTTGAAACCCAGTTTACGACACAGCATCAGTTTTTAAATGCATGTAAAATATAAGCGCTGCTATGAACAGAAGGGGCAGCTGGGTAGTGCAGTGGATAGAACCCTGGGTCTGGTGTCAAGAAGATAAGAGTTCAAATACAGCCTCAGATGCTTGGGCAAGTCACTTAACCTCTATTTGCTTCACTTTCCTCACCCACAAAAGGGGGATAATAATAGTACCTACTTCCCAGGTACATATTATCAAATGAAATAGTCATTATAAAGTGTTTAGCACAGTGCTTGGTACATACTAAGCTATACACAAATGTTAGCTATTATTATTAAGAAGGCAGCTAGATAGCTCAGTGGATAGAACACTGGGCCTGGAGTCAGGAAGACCTAAGTTCAAATCCGGTCTCAGACACTCATTAGCTGTGTGACCCTGGTCAAGTCACTTAACCTCTGTTTGCCTTAATCTCCTAGAGAAGGAAATGGCAAACCACTCCAGCATCTTTGCCAAGAAAACCTCATGGACAGTATCAGTGTGCTATGGTACACAGGGTCACAAAGTATAGGACATGACTGAACCTTTATTATTATTATTATTAAAAATAGAGATAGAAAACCCTCTGCCAAATACCTTTTTAAAGACAAATATGGTTCTAATACCCAAAGAAGGGAGAAATAAAGCAGAAAGTGTGCATTATTTTTGTCCCTAAATTCCCAGCATCTAGCACATATAAGTGGGGATCTTAATAAACATTTATTAACTGATGGACAAATCTCATTAATGAATAGTGGTGCAACAATTTTTAAATTAAAATCTTGCAAAGAGACTATGGAACTGCTGCCAGAAAATAATTCCTTATTACTAAGTTGGATTCATAACCAGAAGGTGGGCTGGAGGCAAGCATTTTTTTTAAGGTGGACAAATAATTTTATTTTGTGCATGCAAATACATGTCAAGTACTGCAAACTTTTTCCATCAATTTTCTCTCAAACACTGAAAACCATGATGCTCTGTTCTGTGAACAGCCAAAGCTAATATCTTTTTACTTCAGTGCTACAGCAAAAACACATAGAATTCACTCTTTGCTATTCAGTATCATCATAACCCTCATTGTTCCATCTCTCTCCTCCCCCCCCCCGAATACAGGCCTGTATAGAGTCCGAGCCTTCCCCCATTTAATCCTATTCCTATAGCACAAAGGGAAACATTACAATTTGGAAATTCTAATTGAAATAAATGGAATAGAATTTATTCCCATATAGATCCCCCATTTCATTGTACAGAATTATTTTAAATTATAGTTTTAAATAGAAGCTGAGTAGATGCCTTAAAAATGAGCATTTAAATCCATCTTAGAGATGGTGCCTGCTTTATACATGATGGTTGTACACCATCTTTAATTTCAATTACATTTCAATTGAACAATAGATTTGCAAAGAAAATGTCTAATACAGACGTAAAAATATTCACACTAGAGCTTCACAATCGGTTGTACAGTTGACAAACAGGCCTCTTTTCCCAAACTTTCCAGCTAAGCAAATTTATAAAATGTAATCAACGTAACGAGAAAAAAACATTTTCTTAAAATCTCAGGGAAAAGAATGTGCGATAAACAGTATAAATGCAGACAGCAGATGCTGCAAGCTAACCACGATAAGGAGGTGAGCATTTTTAAGCACATACTATGTGCCGGTTACTGAGCCAAGTGATTGACAAACATCATCTCATTTGATCCTTGTGACAACTCTGGGAGGTAGGTGCTATTATTATCTCCATTTTACAGATGAAGAAGCTGAGGCAAATAGAGATTAGATGACTTAACCAGCCAATAAACGTCTGAGGCCCCATTTGAACCCAGTTCTTCCTGACTCCAGGCCTAGTGCTCTACCTGGGCCTGTTACTAGCTGTGTTATTTAGCTGCCTCTTGGAACTCAAGGATAGTTCAACATTGAGAAAACAATTCACATGGATTAGCGAAATAAACAACAAAGATAACAACAAATCAAATGGGTATCGTAGAAGCATAAAAAGCCTTTGAAAAATCCAACATGCATTTATATTAAAAATCCTAAAAAGCATTGATTGACATAGAAAGGTCCTCCTTTAATAGTACCAAAAGTATATATTTAAAATTAAGAGGTAGCACTGCTTGTAGTGGAGAAACACTAAAAGATTTCCAAGTACAAACAGGGGTAAAGGAGGGATGGCCTTGTCTTCACTGTTATTTATATAGTTCTATAAATACTAGCTGTAGCAGTAGGATAAAAAAAAAAAACAAGGTATATACATTGACAAAGAGAAGACAAATTAACCTTATTTGAAAACAGCGTGATGGTGTACTCAGAAAACTCCAGAGAGTCAGTGAAGAAATTGAGATTAATAACAGTGATACGGTTTCAGAATACAAAACAATTCCACAAAAATCATCAGCATTTCTATACGGTATTCACAAACACTAGGAGAAATGATGAGAAGAGAAATCCCATTCAAAGCAAGGACAGAATCTCATATCAGGAAGGGGCACAGAGACCATATGATCCAACCTAACCTATACCTATTCAGGAATCCTCTTTACAACAACCAGAAAAAGATGGAAATGAGCCTTTGGTTGAAAACCTCTCGTGAGAGGAAGTTCATTATCTCCTGAGGTGGCTGATAGCACATTTGAACAGATCTAATTATCAGAAAGTTTCTCTTTATATTGAGCTAAAATCTATCTTCCTGCAATTCTTTCCCCATTGCTTTGTGCAAAGTGTTGTGTTGGGGACACAATGACAAAGTGGAAAAAAAAATCTCAATTGTCAAGGAGCATACGTTCTACGGGAGAGGATACAACACGTGTAAATATGAAAAAGTAGGAAAGGGTCAGAGGCCAAAGATGGAACTCTGAGGTCAGAGGCCAGCAAGTAGGCCAGACTGTCTAGAAAGAGGAATACAAGTTGAACCAGACTTTGAAGGGCTTTAACTGAAAAGCCGGGGAGTTCCTTACTGTCTAAAGTGAATGAGTACCCATTGATTTTTCTTGAGCAGAGGAATGACGTTGGGAGATTTGTGCTTTAGGAAAATAATACTGGTAACTATGTGAAGGACATATTGGAGAGAGAATGACTGGGAGTCAAGAGTCTGGGGAAGAAGAGGGGCGGTGGCTACGTGAGTGGGAAAAGAGTCACATATAGGAGATATTGTGGAGGTGAAATCCATCCCAGTTGGCAAATGATTGGTAATGGAGGCTGGGGAGAAGAAACAGCTCAGGATGATGCCTCTAAGAAGATGAACCGAGGTGACTGCAAGGATGGCGGCACTCTTGAGAGAACTATGGGGCACCCGTGCTGAGAAAAACATCCAGAGGAAGAGGAAGGAGAAGAGAAGCCTTAATTAAAGGAAAGGGCACCATTTAATTCAGAAAAATCAGAAGTTGGCAGTCAGTTTGATTTAAATACCATAGAATGGAAGAAATAGCAGGATGTGAACTAAAAATATGCCTTCAAACAAAAGCCATCCTCGCCCTGAGTCATTTCAGAAAGGCTCAGAACAGGCTGTAAGCGGAATTCTTTCCTTACCCGATAGTTGTTCATGATCTCAGCCAACCATGGCTTCACCGACTTGAACCAATCTGCCCACATGTGCTTCTCAACTTCGGAACCATCATGAAAAGTCAGGTTGCCCACGTGGATGGCTCTTCTCACTTCTGGCAATGATAGAAAGTACCCAAAGTATTTTTCTTCTTCTGGTTCCTGAACAGAAAAAGGGCATGAGAAGAAAGATGATGGGAAGAAGTGTCAGGCTTTTGTGTAAGACTGTTCTCTAAGTAATAATAATAATAATAATAATAATACTCTCAAACATTGACTAAACACTTACTATATCCAAGGCATTCTGTTAAGCATGGGAGATACAAAAAGAAAAATGACAGTGCATGCCATCACGGGACTTACATTCTTTCAGGTTATGTGTACACACATAAGTAACATAGGTATGTTTGCAAAATAAACAAAAGATATTTGGTGACAGCTAGGTGGCACAGTGGATAGAATACCAGGCTTGGAGTAGGAAGACTCATCATCCTGAGTTCAAATCTTGCCTCAGACACTTCCTAGCTGTGTGACCTTGGGCAAGTCACTTAACCTTGTTTGCCTCAGTTTCCTCATCTGTAAAATGAGCTGGAGAAGAAATGGCAGATCGCTCCAATAACTTTCTCAAGAAAACCCCAAATGGGGCCACAAAGAATTGGACATGACTGAAACAGCAACAGGGGAGACATTAAGGCAGCTAGGAGGAGGGAGCAATGAGGAAAGGCCTCATATTAGAGGTAATATCTGAGTTCAGCTTGGAAGAAAGTGATGGATTCTAATAGGTCAAAGTGAGGAGAAAAGGCTTTCTAGGCAGAGGCGATGGCTTATGCAAAGGCTCAGGGGGTTAGGGGTTGGAATGTCCTTTGTAAGGAGCACCAAGAGGGTGGGTTTGGCTGGACTTTAGAGTTCATGAAAAGAAATAACATATACTAAGTCTGGAGAGGCAGTAAGTATAAGAGAGAGGATACAAACCCAGGTAGGTCTCTCCTGATTCCAAATCCTGCATGCTTTCTGATAAACAATCTTGGCTAAAAAGTCTCAAAGTGCAAAATTACTATTTGTAGCTTTAACAATGAAGGAAGTAATTACCTGACACCGTAAAAAGTTAAAATAATAGGAACATCCTGTAGAATTCTGGAAGTATGAAGGGTAACTTGTTAAGTCACCGTTCATCAGGCTATCAAAAATCTAGGGAGAAAAAAGAGAAAAATCATTGAGACATACAGGCAATGTCCCCATGCTGGCGTTCACTCAGCTTCCCTGCTTTCTTTGGAAGATGGTCTAAAAATCCTATTTTTAATATTACTGAAACCCCCCTAGAGCTTCTTGGAACAAGCCAGATATCTTATTTGCTGATGTATTTAATGGGGCAGATAGGTGACACAGAAGATAGAGAGCAGGGCCTAATGTCAGGAAGACCTGTCTTCCCAAGTTCAAATCTGGCCTCAGGTGCTTACTAATTGTGTGACCCTGGGGAAGTCACTTCACCCTGTTTGCCTCAGTTTCCTCATTTGTAAGGTGAGCTGGAGAAGGAAATGGCAAAACACTCCAGTATCTTTGCCAAGAAAACCCAAAATTGTGGCCATGGAGTCAGGAGAACCTGAGTTCAAATCTGGCCTCAGACACTAGACACTAGCTGTGTGACACTAGGCAAGTCACTTAACCCCAAATGCCTCACCAAAAACAAACAAATAAACAAAACCAAATTGGGGCATGAAGGGTCAGACATGGCTCTACAACAACAAAATTAATTTCGTGCAAAACTTGATTTTCCCAGGGTTATAGATTTAGAGCTACAGGGACCTTAGAAGTCATCTAATCTAATCTCCTCATTTTAGAGACCTCAGCACCACAGATCTAGAAACAGAAAGAGCCAAAGAAACCATTTAGTCCTACCCTAGTGAAAATGGGAAAATGGAGCCCAGAGGGGACACATTGTTTACACAAGATTAGGCAAGAGGCAAACCCAGGACTGACCAAATGAGTCCAAATCCAGTGCTTTTCTACCCTGCTAGGCTGCTCCTAACCTTTGCGCTAACCAACATTTCTTTGTTCTTACACCGCCATGAAGCTGCAAGCCTTTGTGTCTCCCAGACCACCTTGAGTCAGGAAGGCCTCAGCCTGTAAGCTGACGGACTCCAGTGATCAGAGCAGCCCCCTCCTCTGTTTCCATAAGCCACACCACAAAATCAGGTTTGTGACTTTATGGACATACCTGATAAATCTAACAGCAAGCAAGGACTACAGTGTTCTAGCACAGTGCCCAACTTCAAAGGCCCTACAGACATTCCTTGGTGACTTCAGCTTTACTCGAGTTTCTGGGAGTTGTGATACATGTTGGGCTTGAAACTTCACAGTCAGTTTTTCCTGCTATAACCCGTTTACAGAACTGGAGATGAGTCTGTGTTAATCACTTTTCTCCCAAGGCATCTGATATCAGCTGCTTGGGTCTCAGCAGAACTTACCCACTGAAACATGACCTTTTGTGCTTTGCCAAGAATACCTTGGGTTTTAGTCATCCGACCCAATGAGACTAATTCCAGTAGATAGAAGAATGGATAAGCTGATCCTTCCATGTGGACCCCATACAAATTCTTAAAATTCAGTCCTATAATCACTAACCAATGTTAATGCATTCAATATAACAGGACCTCCAAATTATCATATACTTATCTGCTTACATGTTGTACCTTCCCTTCTCTTCCAAGTAGAATGTAATCTCCCTGAGTGCACAGAGGTGTTTTTTATTCTGTCTTTATATCCCCAGTACCTCGTGTAGTACCTTGCTCCCACTAGGTGCTTAATAAATGCTTCTGCATAGGACCGGATTAGATTATAGGAAGAATGCCGTAAAAGGAGTCATTACAAGATAACCCATTTTTCATAGACCTTTGATATTTTTTTCGTTTATTACTCTTCTTTATATAGTAATAATCATATAACTAAAATACTCTCTTTGAATTTAAATAAATCTCAAAGGTCATTCACATTGTTAAAAAAAAACTTTGGCTGATATCTTAAATAGAATTTAAAAAATAATATTAAGCAAGTATGGCGAAAGATCTCTGTATCAAGGCCGCGTCTGCTACATTTTTAACCATCTTTGTGAAAGACGGTGGGGACGTGTGACATTTGTTACCAACTCACATCCTACCTAAGGCTGGATCCTTGTTAGCGGAGCTGATGGTTTAAAGCGTATGTCAGAGCATATGTATCCAGTTCCTAGACGGCATTTTTCCTGATTTCCAAGTGATAGGTCATGCCTTCAGGGGCATACAAACCATTAAAAGGAATCAAAACAGCTTAATCAGCAGAGACATAATGACAGAAACTGTACACTCCAAGGCAATCACAGGTCATAAGCCAGAGAGAGCGTGGATTCAAAGGAATGTGGACAGCACTTTTCTTCATTGGGTTTCCCCATCTGCCCATGCCCTCCACGGCATCATGGGCACCATCTTTAATGAGAAAGTCCCAATGCTCCTTCCCTTTGCTTCTCTATGACCCCTACCCTGCTCAGCTGCTTTTGATCATTCCGGGGCAGTTCAAGGCCCTCGGGTACATACTTCAAAGGCCTTTCTCCACTTCTCCTGCTTGATGTATTTGATGGTCTCAGCACATTGTTTCTGGAAGTATTTTTTCTGTTTCTCATCTAACAAACCGATGTGGTACAGGAATCCTGGGTAGCCTCCTATGATCTGATGCAGCCACCAGAAAACACAAAGTTTAAAAAAAAAGGATATTAGATGAAATAATTATCCTCAACATCAGATCAATTGGCAACGTGAACCAAGGATAATAATAATTTAAGAAGGAGAATAATAATAATTTAGGAATAATAATTTAAATCACACACACACACACACACACACACACATTTACTCCACCAGCTTGATATGAAACATGTGTCAAAAATTAAAGATATAAAGGCATTAAAAAGTCAACTGAGAAATATTAATTCCTTTTATCAAGTTAGCACTGTAACTTCAGAAAGCATTCCACCTAATTAAAGAGGATTTCCCTTCCTATTGAGGCACAGTAGAAGGGAGGGGGAGCAGGGGAAGGAAAAGGCAGAACTTACTGTTTCTGGATCAGAAAAGCCATCGCCAATAGCAACACCTTTCAAGTTGATCTTGACCTTGGCCGTGGGATTGAGGAGATGGATGTAATAGGCAATCGCAGGCACATATTTTCCTGCATAAGACTAAGGAGAAAGGGAGTTACAATGGAAGACATATTTAGAAATGCTGACAATCTGATATAGAAGATCTAAAATATTTACATTATTAACAGGACAAATAATCAGAATACTTAGAAGATAATAATTAGATATATTACATATCATATATACTGAAGCACTATTTTTTTAAAACTGCTGATAAGTTCCATCTCATCAATAGAAAGTAAGCTTCTTGAAGGCAGGAGCCATTCCCTTTGTTTTTCTAGAATCCGGCACAGCACCTGGCAGAATAGGTTCTTACAAAATACTTGCTAGTTGATTACTTTAGAACTACAGATTCAAGCTGAAGGAGGCCTAGAGGTCATTTAGACCAGCACTCATTTTGCAGATGAGGGGAAATGAGGCCTACAGACGTCAGTGAAGTGCCCAAGAGAACTTGCAGGCAAGATCTGGGCTAACTTCTATGATTCCACTTTTCACTGCCCCCATGGTATCCCATGAATAGGCAGTGCTAGATACCAATTCAAGCTTCCATAAACGCTTGATAATAGAAGGAATTTTCAAATTTCCTTCCAGAATTAGACAACATAAAACCAGTCACTCTAATTCTCTCACCTAATGGACTTTTCTCCATTAAACTCCAAAAAGTCTTACCAAAATTTTCTTATCAAGAAAATCTAAATGTCAGCCAACTAATAGATAGGGACATCAGTTAGATCTGTGATTTCACTGGTGAAACAGATCTCCCAGATAAGAAGATTCTCTCCACCAATGCAGTTTGGCACATTTTCTGAAATATATAGAGATGCCTAGAAAACCAGTATGGAGGAGTGGAGAGAAAGTTAGCCTAGAAGCCAGGAGGACCTGAGTTCAAATCCTGCCTCTGACAAATATTGGCTGTGTTTCCCTGGACCTTGAATATTCAGTGCTCTGGTCAACTCTTTAAGACAAGAAGGTGTCAACCTGAATTAGTAGAGGGAGTTTGCTCATCCAGGAGTTCCTGATACTAGTAATCACAGGGCCCAATCCCTATCACCAACATGGCAGCCTCTCTAACTTAGCTAGGGCTTCTCTGCTCAGACAAGAGACATACAATGCATCATGAGCCCTGGCCAAGGCTAGAGAGGGAGAAAGGGAGGAGTAAAGGTAAGTGATTCCCATACAAGTCAAATCTTGGGCTTCTCAGCGTGGTACCACAGAAGCCCATCAGACAAGCAAGAAGAGAAAAGCTAATGGTGGACAATGGTTAAAATGTAATGGTCCTCTCCAATATCACATCCATAAGCAGGAAGGGGACTCATAAGAGTTCACCTGGTGATGTGGAAGAAGTGCTTTACAAACCTAAAAGTGTGACCAAAATGTAAGTTATCATCCATCATTACCTCAATATTTGTCCATTATTTTTCACTTTCCTCTCCATGTCATCATACATCTTTCATACTCTCTTTTAACATGAACAATTCTCCATCACAGCTTTTCATTAACCTGGGTGGTTGAGGTGATGGAAACTGGACAAGATGCCAATAATCACTTTAATGGCCAAGCTTGGCCCCAAAGAAGAGAGAGGAAAATCCACCTCACCCCTGGGGGGTGCAGAGGTGGAGGACCAGGAGCATGGAGCCTCTTTTCTCTTTTTCTTTTTCGCTCTGTCACAAGTTATTTGTCACTGGGTAGGAAAGGGAGGAGGAATGCATTTGAAAAGTGAAGTAAAAACAACATATAAAAAATAGAACTTAAATATTTTTTAAAAAATATGTTCTTTTTGGCACTACTACTCCATAACTGTCTTCAACTTTCTGTCACTGGGTGCTGGATTTGGAATCACATGAGCTGAGTTCAAATACTGTCTCTGATATTTACTAATTGCCTGACTGGGCTGGTCAGATCCTTTCACAGGTCCTCAGCTTCCTCATCTACAGAATGGGGATTATGATACACTGTCTTCATGGTGAGGAAAGCATTCAAAAAGTAGGTTACCATACAGTGTCTTATACACAGAAGGCATTTAATAAATGCTCAACGAATGAATGATATCCTCTTAGTGTTTGTCCAGGGTATGGGAGCCTGGGGGAACCTGATTTCAAACTATTCCCATAACAAAAAAAAAAAAAGCAAAGCCTCCCATGAAATCACAACCTGAATCCAGATGCATTCTCTTTATGCCTTCACTAATGAATTATTGGAACTCCAACAATATGGACAGCAGCTGTCCGAGGAAAACCATGAACTTGGGAACTTAACATCAACCATCTGATGGGGCTTTGTGTTCATAAGTGCCAGCAACAGCATCAAAGCCACTGTTAAGAGACTGTGGAGAAGTGTGACTGAGTAAAAACCAGATCGACAATCACAGGATCTGGGGCCTAGGGCTAGAAGCTGGCCCCCATCCAGGCCCTGAAGAGACCCAGGCCCAGAGAGGGAGAACTTGAATCCAGGTCCTGAATTCAAATCCCATGCTCTTTCCATGGTACCACACTGATTTCTAGAGCACCATGCTGGCCAGGTAAGTGGATTTATCCGCCCCATGAGACCAAGTAAATTTAATCCTCCACAAACCTGAGTTCGAGCCTATTACTAACAAAAAGGTCACGGTTAACAATTCCCCATCAATGAATAAACATTTATTAAGCACCTACATGCCAGATGCTCTTTTAGGTGTAGGTACATGGGGATAAAGAAGCAGTGAAGGGAAACCATCCTTGATTCCAAGTTTACTTAGACTGGTTAGTTCAGTTTTTTATACTGGAAGATCAATCTTGAGCCCGACTATGACAAGACATGATACAGCTTCAAACTACTGAAGCCAACCCGAGCATTAGGAAAAGGATCCCAAAGCCCAGGTCTTCCATTTCACAGCCTCCTGTGTCCCTGCCCCTCTTCCTCCAAGCTCTGTATTACAGAGGAGTGAGTTTCATCTCATCTTGCTATCATTGTAAGATATTTACTATATGATGTCTGAAAAGGCCTAACGATAATGGAAGTGGTGTTAACAGCACATTGTACTTGTAAAAATATTCTTGGGAGGATGTAATGCCCATTAATTATCCAGATGTGAAAAGGCACAATGAAAATGGACATAAAGAAACTTGTAATTATGGGCACTGTCTGACTCTCCTGTCTTACATGTTTCAACAAAATCCATGTCAAACTTATTAGCCCCCTGCCACCCTGGTGTTTTTTGAGAAGAGTTGGTTTCATGTCTGGAGTCAAGATTCAATCAACCCCCTCCAGAAAAAAAAGAAAGAAAGAAAGAAAGAAAAAACAGTGTCAAAGAATAATACTATAATGGAAGCAGTCTCCTCTTACAGGAATTTCACATATGTTAGCAGTTACTCCAAGTCTGCTACATTTCTTAGTGAGGTTTAGAAGGGAAAAAAAATAAAAGAGAAACGGATACAATTACCTTCCTTCTACATTCTCATCCTTTCTCATTAGATTTCACAAGGTAAGGGATTCATTGCCCACTCACACATCCCTGAATGGTGGAGACACTCGTGTGTGCCCAGAAAGCTGCATGCACATTGTCACTGGGCTGTAGCACCTAAAATTACCTAGGCTGGTGCAAAATGGTGATTCTTTCTTGGAGCTGGGAAGAAGGCCTGATACAAATTCTCAGGGCCAATGGGCTGGCCCTAAGAGTATGGGATATGGCTCATTGTTTTGCTTGTCCAGACACTGCTGTGAACCTTTGCTGAAATGGAGCCAAAGGACCTGGGAAGACTTCACCACAGGCATCCCCTTCCTTCAAACCATCACTTCTCTCGCCTCCCTCCTAACCCACCCAATTTCCCCAAGAGGAGCTGAGTTGAGAAACCCCTGCCAGACCAAGGTCATACTAATCTCACTCTCTCTCTGGGCAGTACCAAACCTGCTGAGCTATAAGCTTTGATGGGGTCACCCTAAGAGCTGAGCAAGTGGGAGGGCAAATGAGTTGACCCATATACATTACAAGGCTTCCTTGAAGACTACTTACTCCAAACAAACATGGAGGGAGGGCAGGGGTCCCTAAAATTTATGAGGAACCTGGCAGGATTTTAAAAAAACAAAACCTCACATTGATGCGAGTAGCACAAGATGTAGCAACTGAGAGGAAGAGGTCAGGAATGGCAGGCCCACTAACTTCACTCAGTCTTCCTGATTCCCTCCCGGGACAGGAGAGGTGTGATGTTCCAAAGGACCAGTCCCGAAACTTAATGAATGAGAAATGCTATATCCTCCATGTTGTGGTCAACGCCACCATTTCCTAGACATTTCTAGACCATGTGTCATGTAATCTGAAGAGCACACTGTAGCACTTTTGAGAAAGAAGCAGGGGAAAAGGAAGGCTCAGAACAGGCTCTCCTGTTTCTGTTGCACTGGAAAAAAAGAAAAGAAAAGAAAAGGAGACCAATGGGACTTAACATACGGAAGAAAGCATCTTGTTCCCCGGCCAACTTTCTCACTGCTTAGGCTGGCTGAGGAGTGAGAATTCTCCCCTAAACAGAGATTATTCTGGTGACTCCTTCATGTGTTTGGTTGAGAGTATTTCTCTGGTAGAAGTGATCAGAGATGCCCCCTCACCTGTACCTCACATTTCCTCAGTACAGCGCCAGAAGGGCCCAGCATGAAACCAGGGGAAGCAGCATGTTGTTTCTAATCGTGCCCCAAGGTCGCCACTAATCTCACTTTACAGGATAAATGCTGCAGCCAACCTCACAGATACAATCCCAAGCTGCTTCCAGACTCATCCGGCCATCTTCTTGGCTAACAGTAATTCACAAGAAACTGTCTATGAAGAATAATTCAGAAGGCAGAACAATGTAGAAGAAAGGGGGAAACATTCATTATCTATTCCCATTGTCTATTCAATCTCTCAGACATTCCAATCTCTGGGAATTCTCAACCAGACCCTTTTCCCAGACCCTTCCCTGGTCACCCAAAGTATATAAGATCTACCCCGGCCCTCATTCGGGGCTGAGAATCTCAGGCTCACAAGGCTGAGAACCTCTCATGCCTGCTCGTCCTTATGGGCATCACCTGGCCCT